AGAATATTAATGTAACGACTCTTCTAAATTCGTCTAAATAGTTACATTTAAAACTTCATTCTCTATTTTGCTACCCCTAGGGGTAGAATATTTTGTTTAAATTTATATGAGACAACCCCTGAAGTAAAACCTATTTAATAAAAAATAACCTTATAATAGTAATATATTGTTAATATTGTGAACCGATGCCATAGTAAAAACAGAATAGTAGGATTAGTCCCGCGCCGTGTGAGACTTAAAAGCCTACTGCTGCAGGGTTGTCATTTATTTTTATAAGTAGTTATAATATTTACAAACATAATGCATATACGGATACGTAACTAAGCATCACATTTGTTAATCATTTCTTTAGTTTCCGCTAAGCTTAATTAATAATAAGTTTCCCCTAAAAGAATCAATGTTTTAAAAAAAAAACAGCTTTACGTTACAACAAATGCCAAATAACTAAAACACGAGTAAATTAACACTGAGCTTATGATGTCAGCTGAGATTTAATATTTAAAATTAATTTGATCTGATGTGATATAATAATTAATGTACTTATGAGGTGTATGTATCTTAGAAGTGATCCTACTATTCTGTTTTTACTATGCCGGTGTGAAGTCGGATAATTGTTTGTTTACTGTATATAGATCTGTGTATATTTTCTCTCTTCTCAGTAGTTGCTCGGAGTCAAGAAGTTGGCGGTGTCTCACCCCCGTGTCTCGGAAAGCACGTAAAGCCGTTGGTCCTCCGCCTGATCTCTCTCCGGTCGTGTCGGTTTACCGTCCCATCGGATTATGAGAGTGAGGGAATAGATAGTGTACTTGGGCACATACACTAGGTACATACTGGTACATATACTGGTACATACACTTGGGCACTATAATCCTGTCCTGCGCCGATGGCTAGCCTCCGTTGAGGCAGAAATTCGGTCGGGAGGACATTGTTATATTTTCTGTGTTTTAGAAATATATTAATTAACTAGCAGACCCGGCCACTTTTTGCTGTGGCTAACGTCTTTGTTATATTACATTTTATTAAACTATTTAAGTGGAACGGTAGGAGAAAATCAATCATGGGGACCACCATGCTTTTTTTACATAGATGCCATTTGTAAAAGAAATGGCGAACTTCACGGCTGATTTTCTAAAACCCCCCCTCCCCCATCCCCCCCACCCCTTCCCCCCCCCCCCCCCCCCCCTTCCCCCTCCCCAACCCTCCCCCTCCCCTTTCTCCACCCCCCTTTTTTTTTCCCCCCCCCCCCCCTACCGTTACCCTTAATACAATGAAATTGTTATTTACGAACGAAGACTGAAACTTTAAAGCTGGTATAAAATTCCGCTGGATTGGGATTTGAAGGAGAAAGACTTTGAACACGATTGATCAAAATTTTTGTACAATTGATATCAAGCAAAAATCATTACAATAGAATTAATTTTAAAATTTATAATTTTTTAATTCAAGTTTGTAACAAATGAGTATATTACAAACTTTACAGTAAATAACATGTGACACATAAACTTATAAATGAGGTAGGTACGGCAGATAGTTTTAAATCTTTAACAATAATATTTATTATTTTGAATTACAAATACTTTTAATTTCAATTTAATTTAGCACTAATCGGTGAACAATATTTTTGGTTAACCTGTTTTTAGCTAACACAAATAGATTCGACGGTTTTCCTACTCGTGAACATGTTACATATAGTTGCCTATGAGAAAAACATGGATTTTCCAAATCCAAACCACAAATAGACATTGTTTGGCCTTGAGATTTATTTATAGACATGGCAAAAGCTAAACGAATTGGAAACTGTAGCCTTTTGAAGAGTATCGTAGAATCTGACGGTATCATTGGAATACGTGGCAACAGAACCACTTCTCCTTTAAAATTTCCAGTTAAAATGGTTGCCTCAAGGATATTTCCAGTGATCCTTTTGATGACCAAACGCGTACCGTTACATAATCGAGGTGGATTCAAATTACGCAGGAGAATAATAGGTGAACCAATCTTTAGTCGAAGATTATGTGGTGGCATTCCAGGTATATCTAGTGAATTTAAAAATTCGATTGGAAAATTTGCACTTTCATTTTCATTAACAACAGTATCGATTGATTTAAAAGTCATCAGATCGCCAGGTAATAACTGTTGTATCTGGAAGTTAATTTCGTCAACATCAACATTATTGGCTGCCAAAATAGCCCGATCACTGAGACAGTTATGATTCAATTAATTACTCTGTATATCTGGAAAGATACTCTGAATCAATTCATTTTTTCACGGAAGAACAGTGCAGAAATTGTCTGGCAGTTTAATGCATTGCGTATTTGGTTGCAGCTCTATTTTACCGTTCCCAATATCTAGTAATTGTTCCGAAAATATTTGTGCAGATGAATCATTTTGCAATCGTACGCGCATGTTTATGGTCAAACGAAGTGTTTCTACACATCGCCATAAGAATGATTGTTTCAAACATTCACATTCATTTCACATCTCATCCGCGAAAGTAGAGCGAGGTATAACCGGTAAGGTCTGTCGGAAATCACCAGACAAAAGTAAGATAGAACCACTGAAAAGTTTATCGTTGCCGTTTAAATCTTGCATAGTTCTATGCAATGCTTCGAGTGAATGTTTGTGAGCCATTGTGCACTCATCCCAAATTATGATTGAACTCTTCCGCAACACTGCAGCTATTCCACTATTTTTTTATGTTACATATTGCGTTTGGTTTATTATGAATGTCCAATGGCAACTTCAATGTTGAATGTGCATCTAGCAAAGTAGCCGCAATGCCTGACGATGCAACTGCCAATGCTATTTCCTTTTGTGATCGTACTTTGGCAAGAATCAGCGATATTAAAAATGTCTTACCGGTTCCACCAGGCGCGTCCAAGAAAAAAAAAAGCCGCCTTGTTCAGCAGCAACAGTCAGCATAATCCGACCATAAATAATTTTTTGTTCTGCTGTCAGTAATGGCTCATTGTTCGCTATAAATGTTGCTAAATTACCGTGGTCATATTGTTTTTCTCACTGTAAATCGGTGTTTTCTAAGTCGGTGGCTGGGCGATCAGATGATGGCATACCATAATGATTAAGTGGTAAATTTGAAATTAAAACACATAAATTCTCGATCAATTCTAACGCTTAATTATATATCTCTGGCGTATAATCTATGTTTTGGCATTGATCTCTTTGTCTTAATTCGGTGCAATATGTCTTCTGTCATATAATTTTTATATTTTTCCCACAAATTTTGTGCTTGCGATGGATAACATATTGTTAAAATAATTGCAAATAGCTGACGAATGTTATTGGGCGTTGATGTCAACGCAGCATCAGCAAACGTTAAGTCCCAATGGTTATCGTCTTCTAGCAATTGCAGTTCATGACATGCATCTTGGAATGTATTGAATACAAATATATTCAATAGACGTTGGTCCGCGAACATTCACCAATAACAAACGTAAATAGAAGCACTCACGTTGATTTGGATGTACCGTGTAAAGACGCCCCAATGTTTTAGCTTTGAATATGCCTGTAATGGAAGGATGTGGTTTTCCTTGTTTTCGTGGCTCCCATTTTTTACCGGATTTGTTCCATGTGAAATAACGTGGAACATCAGTATATATCAAAGTCATTGCGAATTGGCCAAAAATATCAGATTTTTGACACAATGTAAAAAATTCAGTTAGTGTCGTTTTTGGAGCCTCAAGCGCTCTTTGGATAACATTTTCTTCAGTGAAGTATACACGTTGACCATTTTCAAGATGTATTACTAGAAGCTGTACAGGAGGGTCTCTTTCGTGTATGGGAAAGCTGAGAATATGCCAAATAGCTTCGTTGCTGCTAATGTATCTACCCATTTGGTACCGTGTTATTTCGTCATTTTTATTTATATTTTGTACTTCAAATATGGCTAAATCACTGCCTTTATTTACATACTTACAAATGTACTTTATTGATTTTACAGAACTGCAAAGCTCGACATTAATATGAGCTTCATAAGTTTTTGAAAGTAATGGTGAGTATGGTACCACCCACTGATTATCAAGTTCTACTTGATTTATAGAATTCGGCAGTCGCATTGTGAATCTGTGGCCACCGTTCTCAGTATTTCTGCGGCGATACATTGGATAACCGTCAATATCCGTGATAGTTTCATTCGTATGCGGCTTTGGAAAATGTTTCTTACATTTTCCATTTTCCATGCATGGTGACGTCATGTTGAAAGCACCGCATGGCCCGTGTTTCATATGTTTGGTAACAATATCAAATAATTCTTGATCAATTGATGGGTCTGGAATTTCGGCTGAAATTATTTGATCTATTTCTTCTGGACAGATTTTATCTTGAAGCCAAATTAAAATGTGGGCATGAGGCAAACCTCGCTTTTGCCACTCGATCGAATATAGCCAACAACGTGTGATACCAAAAACTGAATATTTAACAATGAAATCAATTAAGGATTTAAATTTTTGTTTGAACACACGTGCAGTTATATCATGACGATGAATTGCTTGTTGTCCCGGTAATAGTAAAGTTTGTATCTCTGTCCAATTCGGATTACATATGAATGTAATAAACAAATCTGGTCGGCCGTAATAACGTACGTAAGTCATCGCATCTTGTATGTATTCCTGCATATTCCGTGGACTGCCGATGTAGCTTGAAGGTAAAATGAAAGCATTACCGATGTCTTTGGGATTTAAATTTCCGTCGATGTTTCCAACAACAGCATCTCGTAAGTGAATGTATTCTTCCGATCGTAATTTAGCCTGGTTGTATCGAATGAATCGCAAGCGTTCGCTTTCAACCTTAGCATACATATCAACAATGTATTGATGGAATAGCTGACGATATCGAAGGATATATTTGACCTGATATAGTCTTATCATCAATCGGTGTGGTAGTAGTTCATTGAGCTAACGTTTTTGTCTCTTTTAGCACCTAAAAACAATAAAAAATAAAATAAAATCAGAAATTAAAATAAGTACACACAGTAAGATATTAAATAGTTAATTGTCAAATTTACCAGTATTTGAATCACACTGTTTGATGTTAAGGTGATATTCATCCTGTCCTTGCCAAAATATTAATGGATATTGTAGTGCGTAATATGAACGGTGTAGATCCGAAATCGTACTGACAGTGTTGTCTTGTCGTGTAATTTTTATAGCTCTTTTGTCAACTGGATCACCAACCATAATAATAACGACCTCATCAACAGTTGGAGCGTTGAATCTGCCAGCATGTTCACCTAATGGTAATTTGTCGGCTTTTATGACGACTTGATAGTTGTCATTTTGCAGTCGTGGCGAAACTCTTTTAATCAATCGAATTAGTTCATTATGATCTTCTAAAAAAATTTCCAGTATAATCACAATTGCTCTTTCATCTGCTTGTTTAATGAAATTATACTGGCACCGAGTTGTCACGCGCTCTTCACAATTGCCCATAAAATAAATTTGAAGAAATTTCGGATCATTACCAGGCATTGGCATCAATGACCCAATTTGATGGTACACCTGGCCTTGTATTTTAAATGTCGTTTCAAAATTACGTCCATCAGAAGCGAAATCGCAAATTTTAGTTGCCCCAAATGACGTCATTTTGAAGCAAGAATTAAATTTGCGTATCTTACGCAAAAATAATTTTGAATCATCTGAATCGCCAGCAAGAAGGGATAATAAAGGTTCCGGCGGAGTGGGTAGAGGTGACAGCACAACTTTTCCCGATGCGCAGCACATGCCGGGTGTTTCGTTCTGAAATTTCAATGCCTGACAATATTGACATACTTTATCCATTGTACCGATAGCGATTTTTGAATGCGCAGAGTAGTTAATATCTGATGCATATTCGAAAGCAAGACGAACAAATGATGCTCGTGATAATGAGCGGCTGGCTCGCTGCCTCTGTCGTTCTTGTACTCGAGCTGTAGCCATGTTTTGCTCTCGTGCTGCTCTTGTTCTCATAATAGTCTGTCGCAGACGTTCGTCACGCTGTTCTTGATGTTCTTGTGCACGACTCTCTGCTGTCCTGATTCTTTGATCTGCATTTCTTGTTTCGAATTGTTCTGCCGACTGATGAGCACTTTCAACACGTTTGCGTCGTGCCTCTCTGCCCCTCGCGTTATTGAGATTAGATTTTTTCGGTGGCATTTGACTGAAAATAATAATTTAAACTTTTAAATTAAAAAAAAACTGAAAAACATGCTATTATACCACATTGATATAAGGATTTAAAATAATTTTTAATAAAGTTTGAACAATAAATACCAACCATTTTTGTGACAAATAACCAGATTCATTTAGATCTAGAGCCTTAGTACCTCATGACCATCAAAATACAGTAATTCTATGCACTGCAAATACAATAATGTAACTATGTGATAATACTTACATGTATAATATATTATTTTAATTAAAGAGTTTTGAACAACGAAGCACTAATAATTAAAAAGCAGGAATAATTTCACTGTATTATCTTCACTATAATATGAATTTAATTTATACTTGAGTAATCAAAATATTATTCCTGTAATTTTAACAAAACATGTCATCGCTAACGTATTGCAAAAATGTAAATTGCTTTATTGAGACTTTTTGTTTTCTAAAGGAACCGTTTCAAACGTAGCATTCAATGCGTCAATGCGCTTGAAAGCGTATGTATTGTGACTGTCAAATTATATACAAATATAATTTGGAATAAAATAATATTGCGAATATGAATTGAAATGTAAGCTATCCTATCTCTCAAGTTGGACCAAACTACACACGTTGTGCAAATTTGATCAAAATCGGTTAAGTAGTTTAGGAGTCCATCGCGGACAAACAACGTGACACGTACTTTATATATATAAAGATTGTATTGTGCTGTCTTATAAACGGCCTAACTGCAGCTGATTAAGATCGACGTGAATAGGTTAGGCTCAATCGAGAAAGCCCTCACAAAATACCAGAGTAAAATAGCAGCATAAGTGTTTCGTATTTAGCAACAAAGGGAAGTAATAACGAGAGATTCGCGGAGCAAGACACGCTCAGCAAAGACTTGTTCTCCCTTCTGTATTCAAGGATGGGTGTAGGTGTCTATTGAACACAGCATAAATTACCATCAGGTGTACTATGTATGTCCAGCAGAGGGACACGTATATTATAGGCTGTAACTTTTTTTACTAGGTGTACTGCGTTCTAATTTTTCACTTATTACTGGAAATATTTTATAGGGGTTCTATTGAAAATCAGCTAACAGCGGCAGTTTAATATCTTAATATAAGTCTCATAGCCGCCAAATGGCATCTACTATTTCACTTGCCTAGGTCACTAATAAAATGACTAGAATGTTCCAAATGAATTCCAAAAAAATATTGGTTTTACGTTGCTTTCTCCAGTCCGCTGTCCGCAGCACTGTTTATAATCATACTAAAATATCTACAATCTTTGCCGTAAAAGGTACAGCGTACGTAAAATACAATCAAATCAGTTATGATTTTATCTATTCTATTACTTACAATAATAATAATTGTACGCGCCCTGAGTTACCCCAACAAAGGTCGACGGGATCAGGGCCCATGAGTGGTCCCCTCGACGAGCAACCAAGGGTGGAGCCCAATGGCTTATGGATAATTAAATTATAACGGCTAACAAAGAAGCAAGCAACACTTACCGATTGGCGGAGGTAGGGTTGACAACTGGGCACCTGTCATGTGAAAGGTGATGTGCATGTAAGTGGTGTGTAGTAAGTGTACAATGTGTGACCTGACATCCCCGCTGATCCTGGACTGCAGATCCCAAGGCGCTGCCTCTCTCCAAACGTGGGATCCATCCAGGGGGCGTTCACCAATTGAAAACTTCTATTTTCACTATATTAGTCCATCAACTTTGTCATACATTCAATTGACTTCAAATTCAACCAAATCAACGTTAATCGACATTAAAACAAGTGATACGCTGCACCACTTAAGGACTGTTGGTCAAAGTTCAAGGTCCCAGGTTCACTTAGCACAAAACTACTAACTCGTCGATACAATTAACGGCATAAAAGTTCCTTTAATCACTCCAAACTCCAAGTAGGCCTCTTGTCACGTAACACGTTCAAACAGACAACTAAATTCGAGGCGGTCTAATTAGACCCCAATGTTCAATAGTAATTCAAAATGGCGGACACAATTAACACAGATTTAGGCCTTCAATCAAAACACCGGCCGCCCGCAACCGTATACCAGTCACAAACAATACTTAAAACGGTCACAACAATAATAATATAATTCCGACCTCGTTATCACGAAAACAAATTAAGATAACACTGTAAGAGGCTCGCGACATATAATCGACCCGGGCTTCGCGCAAATAAAGAATAAGCCTCGTTGTCACGTATATTAACGACAAATACAACACAATAGAGGCCGTCCTTTCGATGCAAAATTATATCAAACTCGCGATCCCTAAATCGACCCGGGAGATTATGTAACTCCCGACGTTTAACTGGCGCGGCCTCAGCGCCAAAGGCTTCCTGCCGACTGGCGCTTGCTGTGCGCGTACGCCACAGCAAGCCTCTACCTCCCGCGCTACGCTAACCATTTCCTCACCCCGCTCGAGGCAATCAGGCGTAAACAATAATACTCATAATACTAATGATAAAATGGCGCGTAGGGAGGTGACCGCCCGCTGACGTAACAGTTGTACGAATAAACTGCTACGTTGGCGCAGTCAGTCAGCGCCTTGCCAAGAGGTGTGAGCACCGTGCCTCGGCAGAATTGAAGGTGCAAAGGCCAGTCTGTGCAAACGGCCGCCCCATAAAACGAAACCGGTCCTGGGTGTCTCCCGTTAATTGACGCCCAGTTAATGGATGATGAACACTAAAAGGTGGCCGCTACCTGGAAGTCGCCAGGGCGAGGATGAAGCTGGGCTGGACGCGATAGAATGCGGACGCCACCCGAGCACGAGGGGCTGTAAGACTGGGTCTTCTCGGACCCGGCAAGCGGCACCCGCCCCTGGATGAGCACGACGAATGCAGTGGACGAAAATAATGAACGCAAACGCATTTCGGGAGTACTTTAGGGCAAGAGGAAGAAACTGGAAGGTTCGCGTATCGTGCTCGGAGGCATCGCTTTTTTCTGAGCTGGAGCCATCTGTTCCTGTAACGGAGAAAAACTTGGCAGACCGAGTTTGGTACATCATTACCAAAACACACTCCGAATCCACTAAAAAATAAGCAGTAAGCCTCAAAATCCTCCCCCTCACATAATTATCCCAGTCTTAAGAATTGAGGACCGTATTGCAAAGGCAAGGGCCCTCATCGGCAGACTGGCAAGCTTCAGGTCGGGTAATAATATACCGATAGTTGTTACGCATCGTTAGCAAGGTGTTTGTTGTGATAAATTTCAGTTTGTCCCAGTCGGATATCATGCAGAAACTAACAGAGCGCAAAGACGACCTGAATAAAAGAATCGCTGCTTGGGGGAAGCGGAATTGGTGACATACCATAAGTCAAGGCGGTTCAACCAGAATTGTCTCTTCCATATTGATCAGAAGAGACTCTATAAATCATTGGAGCGACCAATAATATGTAGAACGGGCCGAGATCCGAATCAGGCCGACACTGTCGCAGTCTGGGGTGGCCTGTGGTTAGAGCCAGAAACCACATCGAGGGCCCTTGGACTGAAATTGTGGCAATTCAGTGTGCGAGTGTTACGCCCATGTACCCCGTCATCATAACGTCGTAAGACGTAGCTGAGGCGTTCCGTAGGGCTCCGAACTGGAAAAGTCCGGGACTCGACGGGCTGCATCACTACTGGCTGAAGGGGTTCGTGGTGTGTCAAGCTGTGCTCGCCCTCTTTGCAGTTTCAAGGGGCTTTCGATCAGAAGTCGCTCCCGAGCCTCTTCACTAATGAGATTACTCACTTGGAGAATCACTCGTCACCTGGACTTAAATCAAGTGCTATCACACGCTCAAAATGGGTGTTGGGACGGTGGTCGTGGAATCGAGGAACCACTCCTTATTGACGCGGTCGTTGGTAAAGTAGTTAAACGCAACCGTCGGAACTTCTCCGCCGTGCCGCCTGGATAGACTACAGAAAGGCACTCGAGTCGGTACCACATACATGGCTAAAAAGGATCCTCGAGCTCTACAAGGTTGACTGCACAGTTAGTCTTCCTCGGACAGTGTATGGGGCAGTTAAGTACGATACTGTGTCCTCTAAGCGAGCAATGACGGTTGTGGAAAGCTGCATAAAGATAAGAAGGAATATCTTCCAGGGCGATTGTTTGAGTCCAATCTGGTTCTGCCTGTCTCTAAACCCTCTCAATACTTTACTGGAGGGCTCCGAGAGGAGATTTCAGCTTCGGAAGGGAGTTACAAAAGTAATCAATTTTTATCTGGTTGATCTAAATGTATTCATCTCCAGTCGCTCCCATCTCATGGAACTGCTAAATTTCACTTGTGAAGCTCAGCAATTCTATCAGAATGGAGCTGGGGACGGATAAGTGTGCGGTCCTCCATGTCGAGAGGGGTAGGATTGTTTTCTGATGGTATAGACTTATCTATGCCCATCAACATAAGAACCCTTTCCGACGCAAAAACATACCGATACCTGGGTATGTCACAGAACGTAGGTGTCGATGAGGCGGACATGAAACGGTCAATTTTCGATGTGTTTATGCACGCTTGACCAAAGTGCAGTCTTTTATCGAGCGTTAGTAAGACACACACATATAACGGTTGGGTCATGCCTGTCCTCATGTATACTTTCGTATGGTAAGTGTAGAGAAGCGGTGCCCCGCAGCATTAAGCTGCCATTTTACGCTGGTATTCTGTGCTCTGTGACCTCTGTGTACTCACAAGTAATTGTCCTACCACTCCTACTGCGATTGAGTCGACCCATTCGTGCTACATATCCTATTACACACACACACAACACAAATATATATATATATATATATATATATATATATATATATATATATATATATATATATATATATATATATCATAATATAATATTGTGGTCGAAATCGGTTTTAAGAGTGTATCATTTCCCCTGTTAGGAATTAATTAATTAAAAATAAGATCTACTCCCTCTTTTTCTCAACATTAAGGAAATTCCTTAATTCGTGAAAAATAATTAAACGCTTTTGTACATTGTTAGATATCTAAGTCTTTC